TATTCTGCAGTTTGGGGAATGAATGTTTTTGAAATGCCTAAGTTTATTTATTCTAGAATGTAATTTTTTTAATGGAGTCTCATTGTCACTAGGCTGGAGTGCAGTGGTGCAATCTCAGCTCACTGAAACCTCCACTTTTTGGATTCAAGTGATTCTCCTTCCTCAGTCCCCTGAGTAGCTGGGATTACAGGTGCACAGTGTGATGCCTGGCTATTTTTTTTTTTTTTTTTTTTTGTATTTTAGTAGAGATTGGGTTTCTTCATGTTGGCCAGAATTGCTTCAATCTCCTGACCTTGTGATCCACCTGCCTTGGCCGCCCAAGGATTACAGACCTGAGCCACCACACCTGGTCTTTTTGAGTGTAATTTAAGTTCATTTCTTCTTATTTACTTTCAGCCTTGATGATTTATTTAGTGCTGTCAGTAAAGTATTGAAGTCCCCCATTATTATGGTATTGCTGTTTATCTCGGTTTTTAGGTGTAGTAAAAATCATTTTATAACTCTGGAAGCTCCAGTGTTAGATGCTTTTATATTTAGGATTCTAATATCATCTTGTTGGACTAATTATTTTATTATTTTATAATATCCTTCTTTGTCTTTTTTTTAAGACAAAGAAGGATATTAACTGACCTTCCTGTTGGATTAATTTTATATCATTATGTAGTATGTAGTATCCTTCTTTGTCTTCAGACCTTAATGCAACAGATTTTTGAGCTTTAAGGTTTGTTTTGTTTAAGAATAGCTGCTCTTGCTTGCTTTTGGTTTTCATTCTTGTGGAATATCTTTTTTCACCCTTTTACCTTAAATTTCATGGTGTTAAGTATCTGAAGATAGCAGATATGTGGTTGTTGGAATTTTATCCATTCTGTCATTCTATACTTTTTTAATGTAGAACATTTAGGCCATTTACATTTAATGTTAATGTTAAGATGTGTGGTATTCTTCAATTAATCATGTCAGTTGTTACCTACTTTGTTTTTTCATTGTTATTATATAGGTCCTGTGAGATTTATGCTTTAAGGAGGTTCTATTTTGGTGCATATCAAGCTTTTGTTTTAAAATTTAGAACTCCCTTTAGCATTTCCTGTAGTGCTGGTTCAATAGTGGCAAATTCCTTCAGCTCTTTTTTGTCTAAAAAAAGTCAATGTGAAGGAAATAATTTTAAGAGCTGTGAAACAGAGTATCAGGTAGGTAACCTATAAAAAAATCTGTCAGACTAACAGCAGATTTCTCAGCAAAAAACGTACAAACCCGGGGGATAGGGGTCCTTCTGCTTTTAGCGTGAAACAAAATAAATGTCAGCCCTGTATTTATCAAAACTAGGATTTATAAATAAGAAAGAGATAAAATATTTTTCAAGCTTTTTTGTGCAGTTTGTGGTTTTGTTTTCTTCTTTATAATTGCCCATATACCAAATATAGAATTTTTCATTCTTTTTATTTTTAATATGCACATTTTCTATTTCATTATAAAATTCTTTTATTTTAACATCATATAATTGACCAAATCAGTAAATTTTTGCATAATTAACTTTATTTTATAGTATTCTATAAATTATATGTGCCTTTCATGCTGAGGTAGAATAATAGATGCAAAAATACTACAAAAATCTAAATAGATGTTATCCCTGCTTTTATAAAAGTTAAAGTAAAGGAAACAGGTATTATAAAATTTTACATATATTAATGTTATGTTGACCAGTAAAATGTGCTTTGACAGAATTTTAAAAGGTAACCATTGAAATTAACAGTCTAGGGCAGGCATTGCTGAAAAAGTAACACATCACCTAATAAATGCAAATAATTTGTGTTGTTTTTACTCACTCAAAATTCCTTTCATTTGTTTCCCAAATAGCATTCTCTTTTCTATCAGTGAATTCTCCTACATTTCATACCCTCTTGGCCCATGGGTGAACATGTGACCCATGCCAAGATAATAATATTTTCTCCTACACGTTTAAATTTTAAACATGTACTCTAAAGATCAGAAAATGGTCAGACCTATGTCAGTCCAATGGTAGTATAACGCACCCTATTTGTTAATTTTTATTCATATAACTCTTAAAACCAAGCTTAGTTCTGTCCTTCCAGAATTATGAGACAGACTATTGTCTGAATTCTCTATAATAAGCATAAATAGGCAATAAATTCACCTTGTTGTTTAAATTGTACAGTATTCACTTCTGTGGGTTATATAACAATCAATCCTAGCTGAAGTAATCATTATACTATAGGAAGAAAAGAAGTAAGATGCTTACAGATGAAGCTAGAAGTCAACTGGTGTAGGCTTTCAGGAAGGAGTTTTAAATTTCATTCTAATGGAAAACATTTTAAGCAGAAGACAGCATAATCACAAGTATACATTCATACTTAAACAGCTTCATTGTCTGGAGTAACACCTGATGTTCATTGTCTCACAGCTATGAAAAACTAGTACATGGACACAAAGAGTGAGGTTGAGAGCAGAAGTTTAATAGACAATAGAAAGAGAATAATTCTCTGCTGCAGACAGGGGTTGAAATAAATGGACTGCTGGTCTGTGGTGAAATGCAGGGAATTTTATAGATAAGCTGGTGAGGTGGTGGTGTATGATTTACATATGGTATAAAAAACTGGTTAGACCAAGTGTGCCATTAGCGTAGACACAAATCTTTGGTAATCCCCATTCTAATATTTTATTATGCAGGCAGGATTCTCTGCCTAAGGTGTTCAGTTTGAAAGTGAGCTAGGGGCTTATATGCTAAACCAATTAAGAAGTCTCTTGGTCTAACAGAAAATTATTTGTAAGGAAAGGAAAGACCATCCATATAGCATTTGAAAAGAGCACAGACCTAACTTTCAAAAGGTATTTTGTACCCACATTAAAGCAATAGAAAGAAGAGTGATGCAAACAAGGTGAGGTCCTTGGGATAGTTTTTTGAGGTATCTTTTAATGACATCATTTGTCTTCTCTACCTTTACTGAGGACTGGGGTCTCTGAGCAAAATGGAGATGACACTGTATGCCTAGTTTCTTTGAGACCCCCCGTGTGATGGCTGCCATAAATGAGGGTTCATTGTCACTTTGGAGGTATTTACATATACCAAGCAGGGAGTTATTATATTAACTAACACTTTTATCACCTCAGAGGTTTTTATCAGCATTACATTAAAATGCTTCCACCTAGTTAGTAAAATTATCTACCCATAGCCATCGCACCCACCCCCTGCCAATGGTATTTTAAAGAATATCCATTAGTGGTAAGAAAATGTCTTCTGCTTTAGGCCGGGTGCGGTGACTCAAGCCTGTAATCCCAGGATCACAAGGTTGAGAGATCGAGACCATCCTGGTCAACATGGTGAAACGCCATCTCTACTAAAAATACAAAAAATTAGCTGGACATGGTGGCACGTGCCTGTAATCCAAGCTACTCAGGAATCTGAGGCAGGAGAATTGTCTGAATCCAGGAGGCGGAGGTTGCAGTGAGCCGAGATCGCGCCATTGCACTCCAGCCTGGGTAACAAGCGAAACTTTGTCTGAAAAAAAAAAAAGAAAGTGTCTTCTGCTTTAAATGGCAGCATGAGTATGAAGAACTAGGAAAGCATACTTAGAGTCATTGCAAAGGTTAGCTACCTTTTTCTTTGTTAATTCAAGTGCTCTTGTAAGAGCTATCAGTTCAGCTAGTTGTGCACTTGTGTGTGAAGAAAGGAATGCAGTTATAATAACACCATTTGGAGTGACCATTGCATATCCTGCTTAATACAGGGTGCTTGCTCCACAAAGAAACTTCCACTGGATTTTCTAGGAAAGTTTCCCTGAGATCCTCCCTGGCTACATACATCCGTACCACAACTTCCTCACAGTCATGTTAGGTTCTGCCATTTCCTTTGGTAGGAAAGTTGTTGGGTTTAGGTGAGAACAAGTTTTCAATTAGACTGTAGAGCCCTCTAATGGAAGAGCCTGATATTTAAGGAGCTGGCTGTCTCTTGGTCAAAGGCTTCCCCTAGAGCACAGCAATCCTGTTACCTCATGTGTGATATAAACAGTTAAGCCATTTCCCAGGGTTAATTTCTTGGTCTCTGTCACCAGTAAGGTCACTGCAAAAACTGCTGAGAGGCATGCTGGCTATCCTTTAGCCACAATATCAAGTTTCTTACTCAGGTAATAAATTAAGCTGTTCAGCTGGTCCTCAGGCTTGAGGTAAAATTCCCAGTGTGGTTCCCTCCTTTATGATACATATGAGGTAATATAAGGGGCAAGCTATCTTGCCCAGCTACAAAACCCAGTAATGCCCCCACATCCTCTTACTTGCTTGAGGGATTTAGGTAGGGGAAAGAAGGAAATTGGCTTAATCATTTCTTCCTATAATGTTGTGGTCCCTTCAGACAACACCAAACACAGGTATGTCACTGAGATTTGGCAAAGCTGGGCCTTAGATTTTGAATGCTTATATCCTCTGTCAGCTAAGAAATTAAGAAGACCTTCATTGCCTTTTTGAGAACTGTTCTCTGTTGTGACACAGAACAGTAGGTCATCTACATTGTGGACGACCCTGACCTGAGGATAGGAAAATTCAGAGAAGTCCTTTGACAGTGCCTGTCCAAAGAAGTGAAGACTGTCTTGAAGTCACTGAGGCCGCACCATCCATGTTAACTGGGCAGTTTGGCTCGAAGAATCTTCAAAGGGAAACACATATTGAGAGTTCAGATGTAATGGTATAGATAAAAAGGTATCCTTTAGTTCTAGTACTATGAATCATTTATTGGGTGAACAAGGCATAGAGATTATAAACTACTGGACGAATTGGCATTACAGTCTCATTAATGAAATGGAGGTCCTGAATTAGTCTTCATTTCCCAATGTGGTTTTGCATTCCTAATATTGGGGTGTTGCAGGGGTTGTTATAGGGTTTGAGTAGGCCCTGCATTTTCAGGTGTTTAATATTGGCTTCTAGGTCTTTCATAGCATCTGGCTTCAGGGAATATTGTCCTAACTATCCCCTAAACCCAAACAAAAACTAGGATGCATAAGGTGAATCTGGACTGGCCTAGTGGTTATAACTTGACCTGTTCTTCCATGAGTTGCCCACACTTCTGGATTAATATTAGCTTCCACTGTGGGGAAATAAAGGATTTGTCCTCGGGCTATAAGAATGCTGACCCCATGTGAGTTAAAATATCTCTACCAAATAAAGGAGTGGGATTTTTAGGCATGATTAAAAAGGCATGAGTAGGGCCAGGCGCGGTGGCACTTTGGGAGGCCGAGGCGGGTAGATCATGAGGTCAACAGATCGAGACCATCCTGGTCAACATGGTGAAACCCCGTCTCTACTAAAAATTACAAAAAATTAGCTGGGCATGGTGGCGCATGCCTGTAATCCCAGCCACTCAGGAGGCTGAGGCAGGAGAATTGCCTGAACCCAGGGGGCGGAGGTTCCGGTGAGCCGAGATTGCGCCATTGCACTCCAGCCTGGGTAACAAGAGCGAAACTCCGTCTCAAAAAAAAAAAAAAAAAAAAAAGGCATGAGTAAATAATAGAATCCCCAAACTACAACTAAGGGTTTTAGAATAATATCAGGTAACTGTCTTTCTTGAGATTCGTATCACAGTCATGCCACAAGAAGAGGGGAAGCTTGGATGAGAGAGAAGAAAAAGACTGGATCCAGTGTCCAGAAGGAAGTCCACCCTTCTTCCTTCAATTTCCAGTATCACCAGGGCTCCTGAGCAATAAAACCAATGGAGTTGGGGTCTGGGCCCTGGGACCCATCAGTCCTGTTGGACCATTGTGAAACCAGTTTTGGATCTGGTGACCTCCATCTCTGTGGGCAGTTTGATTTCCAGTGGTCACTACCATGAGCTGAATGGAGTCAGGTTGACTTCTTGCTGCCTGGGTAATCCTTCTTAAAGTGCCCTGACTTAACACATTTGTAGAAATTAGCAGGAGCACCTCTGAAATTTTGAGTTTTGCAAGCCTGCAAAGCAGCTACTACAGCCTCTGTCTTTCTTTGTGTTTCTTCTTTATATCCTGGGCCTCCTCTCGGTTCCTGTTTTAAAATGTGGAGGTGGCCACCCTCAAGAGGCTTTCTGGATGCTATCTGGTTCTGTAGCCTGCTTCTGCAGTTTCCATCTAACATAGGGAGCTCAATGTGCTATGAACATGTCCTTTTCAATTGCTTGTTCCTTGACTTTTTCAGGAGAAAGGAGGTGTGTTTTATTAGTGCGTTGCCATAAAGGTTGTAGGATTCTCATCTAGGTTTTTGTCTATCATGGACATTTTAGAGTAATTAAGAGGTTTGGCTCTAATTCATCATAGGCTCTCCAACATGTGCATTAAAAAGTGTTCTTTTCCATTTATATGTGTAGTTGGGGTTCTAATCAGGGTTGTCAGTAGGTATTTCCTCTCTTTCTGTTGGGAATAGTGATTCCCCTATTTTTCACCTTAGCTATTTTGTCTTTTGCTTTTTGACCTATTAGAGGAGACATATAACTCATCTTTGAATTCCTCTGTTGCCTTCAGAACTGCCTGTTTTTCTGCAGCAGTTAGAACTTGGCTTAGGAGCAACATAGCATCCCTCCATGAGAGGTCAAACAACTGAGTTAAATTTTGGAATATACCTCTCAGGGTCTCTCTTTATTTGCCTAAGATACTGAATTGAGAAGGGAACTTGAAACCTAGTGGCATCACCTGCACTGATATTTCCCATATGAGCCGCAAGGAGGAGTGGGAATTTTGGGAGATGGTAGAAGTGGAGAAGCCTACAATGTGGTTGGAGGGGGGCCCTGTATAGGGAAACAGGAAGGGTTAGGAACTCTATAACTCCCTCAGATGCTTCTCTGAGAAGTTGTCTTTTTAGTTTTGGAGATTTGCTCCTTTTCAGCCTCAATGATATGATTGACAAAAGAGCTGGGTCGATTGTGCAATGCTTCCAAAGGTCTGGGTTGTCTCATTAGTATGGTAGCCTCATCTTAATCTTTTATTATGCAAAGAAAACCTGTACATAGAAAACCTTGAACCATTTGCTCTCTCATCTACACAAATAATCTAATTTTTGGATAGTATTAAAATTGAGGCTTTCCTGAAAAACGGTTAGTTCAAGACAATAAGAAGGCCATACCATCTTGCAAAAGAAAATGAGCCACTTTTTCTTCAAAGTCTTGGGGTCATAGGAGTCCCATTGCTTCAAAATGCACTCCAGAGGAGTGCAGGCCTGTTATCCATGTAGAAAGAGAAGTGATAAAAAGGAATCCCTTTAGTTTTCTTCCTTTCTTTTAGAATGACTCAGGGTAAAGGGGGTGACAATGGGGACATTCCTTCAACTGTTTCCTTCCTTGGTTCCCTGAGTCCAAGCATACATTAAAGGTGGATGCAGGCATTACCCTCACCCATGGATCCAGAGGAGCTAAGCAATAATATTAGTCATACTTACCAATGCAACTTTAGTCCTCCATTGGTGATTTTCCTTTGATTTTCTAGACTTCTGTACTCTGCATGTTTTCCCAATGGATGGCTCTCAGGACAGACTATGTAACAGTTGTATGAATGCAAGGCCCCTTACCACAGGGAGAATACTAGGTAGAGCTGTATATTCTGTTATTATACCCCAGATTAAAGTATTCTTAGGCAGTGGTTCTGGTTAACATCCATAGTATGTAAAATACCCATTTTTTTTTTTAAAGGCACATGGGTATTTTAAAAACAGTTTTTCTGCTAATGGGAAATTATTGACACAAAATTTTTGTTTGGGGAGATATCTTCCTCCTAATTGTTGTGTTTTCTCACTCACATATGGGGCATAAAGCTTGGTTTACAGTTGACGGGTGTAAAAAGAGAGTAGAATTGGGAAAAATACAGTGTTTTAGCAAAGGTTTGACAAGGTACATCTTGGAGAGGATTCCTATTCCACTAGGCGGTGCTGTATGTCTTGAAATACCATGTGCTTTCCAGACAAAGGGTAGAGAAAAAGATGTTCACTGGGTGGGAGTAGAGGCCCTCTGCTTCTAGAAAAATAAAAAAATGGCCATCCCTTTAGCTGTATTCCCAGTTACTATGGCATTTGCTGATCTTGCCTAATAGGATTATTTCCCTTAACTGTAAAAATTCCTGCAGCACTGCATAAAGAGAGGGGACAGGATGCACAGTGGTCTTGGAAAGAAAAAATTTGATGAAAAAAACTTGGAGATGCTATTGCTTACCCCAATGGGCAGTAAGAAGATGGAAAAATAAGAGTCCAGAAGCCTTTGAGTAACTGTCAATTGTCTCTGGATATCTTCCAGCCCCAGATGATGGCTAGGCTCTTTGTGAAAAGAAATCAGTTCAAAACAGAGCCAATATTCCTAACACCCTGAAAACACTGGGAGATTAGTTGAGTACTCCCTAGCAAGCCTGTCATCTGAGTCTTTGAAGTGGCAGCAATCATAATGGTCTCTTAACTGGCCATCGGATGCCCAGTTTTTAAAGTTTCAGTTTACAATTTAAAATGAGGGCAGATAGACTCAAAATAAAATAGAGAATTGGGGTCCACTCATATAATTACCTTTCTGATGAATCTACCCTTGATCCTAGATGAGGCCCCACAATGAAACAGCCTCATCTGGAGTAATACCTAAGGTTTCTTGTCTTATGGCCATGGAAAAAATAGGATACAGACATGCAAAGAGTGAGATTAGAGTGAAAGTTTAATAGGCAAAAGAATGGCAGAGAGATGTCCTGGAAAAATGGGTTTCCTGTTCATGGCAAAATAGAGTGTTTTAAAGATCAGCTGGTGAGGAGGCAGTGTCTGATTTACATAGGACATGAAAAACTGGTTAGACCAAGTGTGTCATTTGCATGGGGGTGAATCTCTGGTAACCCCATCCTAATCGTTTATCATGCAGGCAGTTTCTCTGCCTGAGCTGTGCCATGTTGCCCATTTCTTTGTTCCTGTAAACATGGTAACAGAGAGGGAAGATGGAGCCTTCATGTTGAATATGTGTGGCCCCCAAGTAGCCCTTTTCTCTTGGCATAGCTGTCAGCATTTGCCCATGCAGGCTTCCAGCTTGCTTATCTCTGTCTGCAGCTTGATTCTTCAGGTTGCTCTTGTTAGGAAAAAAAATAATTTTCTGGGCTGCTTTTTGTTAGAAGGGAAGCGCTGTTGAGGACTCTTTAAGCTCTCATTATCTATCTAATTTCTTTCTACATCAATAAGATCACTTTGGGCTGCGCATGGTGGCTCATGCCTGTAATCCCAGCACTTTGGGAGGCTGAGGTGGATGGATCACCTGAGGTCAGGAGATTAAGACCAGCCTGGCCAACATGGTAAAACCCCATCTCTACTGAAAATATAAAAATTAGCCAGGCATGGTAATGGGGACCTGTAATCCCAGGTACTCTGGAGGCTGAGGCAGGAAAATCACTTGAATCCAGAAGGCAGAATTGCAGTGTGCTCAGATGGTGCCATCACACTCCAGCCTGGGCTACAAAAGTGGAACTTCACCTAAAAAAAAATTACTTTGACTGCAGTGTGGACAACACACTGAAAGACAACAGAGGAGTAGAGTCAGAGAGATTGCTTAAGTAGCTATTGGCCTATTCAAGAAAAAATGTTTTAAATACTAAAATCTGGTAAAAATTATGTAGAGAAAGGCAAATGCTCAAGGAATTTTTATACAGTTAAGATACAATAAATATCTTAAATATACTGATACAATAAATCAGTAGATTCTGCCTGCTAATAGCATAAATGTACTTAGAACAAGTTTCTTAGCTGGTCAACACCTGATTTCAGCCTTATGTAATGTTTTCTTATAGAATGTTCTCAAGGAGTTTCAGAACTTCACTCTGAAATTCTCATTTTACGTAGAAATTACTTATGCTTACTCAGCAATCATTGTGTATACTTGAGAACTCTTGAAATATAAGAAAACCTGTAAGTCGTTTCTCTTTTTTTTGTTTTGTTTTGTTATTTTTTTTTTTTGAGATGGAGTCTCGCTCTTGTTACCCAAGCTGGAGTGCAATGGTGCGACTTCGGTTCACTGCAACCTCCGCCTCCTGGGTTAAAGCAATTCTGCTACCTCAGCCTCCTGAGTAGGTGGGACTACAGGCTGCACCACCATGCTCAGCTAACTTTTGTATTTTTAGTAGAGATGAGGTTTCACCATGTTGACCAGGACTCGATCTCTTGACCTCGTGATCCACCCGCCTCGGCCTCCGAAAGTGCTGGGATTACAGGATTGAGCCACCGCACCCGGCCTATTTTTTTTTTTAACTGGAGATCGGTTTTCAGCATGGTGGCCAGACTGGCCTCAAGTGATCCACCAACCTCTGCCTTCCAAAGTTCTGGGATTACGGGTGAGAGCCACAGCTGCACCCGGCAGGCACCGAAGAGGTTCCGCTGAGGCCTGCTCGGAGGAGTCGCGCTGGGGAAGGCGAGTGGAGGTGCTTCTTGATAAAACTGGGGAATCCCAGATCTCAGGGGTTCTGTCCTGGCCTGCCTCCCTGGATCGTCCAGCCTGGGCGGGAGTGGGGAGAGGACCTCGCCCTTCTTGACTGGGGCTGCATGGGAGGGTCCAACTTCACCAAAGGCCTAGCCCGCGGTTCCTAGCCTATAGCCCCACCCAGCAGCCCCCGGTCCCCCCTCCCCTCTAGACCTGGCAGTCGCCCTCAACGGCCTCAGTACGTCAAGCGACACGCCCTCCGGCCTCTTCCGGCGCTTCTTTTATCACCGCAGCCGGAAGCCGAGCGGCAGAGTGGGCGGTCTGGCTTTCGGGCCGGCGGCGGACTGCGTGGCTTTGTGGCCGCGCGCTGGCGCTGCAGGGAGGGATGCTGTGCCCCTGGGAGAGCCCGTCGCGGGAGCGCAAGGAGCTGGACAGACTCTGGAGCTTCCACGCTGACTTCTCGGACGACCGGCGCCAGGGCTTCCAGGAGCAGTGGTAGCGGCTGCTGCTGCGGTACTCAGGGCAGGGCCGGGAGGCACGCGGAAGCCCATCGTAGGGACTGGGAGAGTCCAGGCCGCCTCGCAGGCTCCTTTCCCTGGGCGCCCGGGGGTTGGGGGCCCAGGGGAGGTTAAAGATGAATGGGCTTGGCTGGTCAACATGGTGAAACCCCGTCTCTACTAAAAATACAAAAAATTAGCTGGGCATGGTGGCACGTGTCGGGAGGCTGAGGCAGGAGAATTGCCTGAACCCGGGAGGCGGAGGTTGCGGTGAGCCGAGATCGCGCCATTGCACTCCAGCCAGGGTAACAAGAGCGAAACTCCCTCTCAAAAAAAAAAAAAAAAAAAAAAAGATTAATGGGCTTGGGAGCGTGGGGTTGGGGGAGTGGGGCCGGGAGGGGACCCAGGAGGACCGCGGAAGAGGAGGCAGGAGGAGGAGGAAGCGCCCCTGCCGAGCTCCCTCCCGAGGTGAAGGCTGAGCCCGGGCAGTGTCCTTTTTTTTTTTTTTTAATGTTTATTATTAATTTTTAAAACATTTTTTGAGACCGGGCTTGGCCCTGTTGCCCAGGCTGGAGCGCAGTGCCGCAGTCCTAACTTCTGATCTCAAGGGAGCCTTCTGCCGCAAGTTAGTAGGGCCTCCACACCTTGCTAATTTAAAAAAAAACTTTTTTTTTTTTGAGTCGGTCGGAGTTTCGCTCTTGTTAAATGGCGCGATCTAGGCTCACCGCAACCTCCACCTCCTGGGTTGAGGCAATTCTCCTGTGTCAGCCTCCCGAGTAGCTGGGATTACAGGCACGTGTCACTATGCCCAGCTAATTTTTTGTATTTTTAGTAGAGATGGGGTTTCACCATGTTGACCAGGTTGGTCTCAAACTATTGCCCTCAAGTGATCTGCCCACTTCAAGCTCCCAAACTGCTGGGATTACAGGCTTGAGCCCCTGCCCCGGCCTTTTTGTGTGTGTGTGAGTGTGTGTGTGTGTCTGTGTGATAAGTATCTCGCCAGGCTGGAGTGCAGTGGCATGATCTCGGCTCACTGCAACCTTCACCTCCTGGGTTCCAGTGATTCTCCTGGTTCAGCCTCCCAAGGAGCTGGAATTACAGGTGCACTCCACCACACCTGGGTAGTATTTTTGTATTTTGATTAGAGACGGGGTTTCACCTTGGTGGCCAAGATGGTCTGGATCTCCTGCTCATGATCCGCCCACCGTGGCCTCCCAAAGTGCTGGGATTACAGGAGTGAGCCACCACACCCAGCCAAAGCTGGTTTATTTAAAACAACAACAATAACAAAAAACAGGCTAGGTGCACATTTGTAATTCCACCACTTTTGGAGGCCAAGGCAGGAAGATTGCTTGAGCCCAGGTGTTTTAGAGCAGCATGGGCAACATGGCAAGACCCCATCTTTACTCAAAATGAAAATTTAGGTCAGGCACAGTGGCTCACACTTCTAATCGAGAACTGTGGGAGGCCAAGGCAGGTGGATCACGAGGTCAAGAGAGCGAGACCACCCTGGCCAACATGGTGAAATCCCATCTCTAATAAAAATAGAAAAATGAGCTGGCCATGGTGCCAGCTACTCAGGAGGCTGAAGCAGGAGAATCACTAGAACCTGAGAGGTGGGGACTGCAGTGAGCCGAGATCTCACCACTGTACTCCAGCCTGGCAACAGAACAGACTCTGGAAAAAAAACCTCCTCTATGTCTCCCTGTATGGTCAGGCTGTGTGAGTACCAGAGAGGCTTGGTGACTGGGAATCTTTTCTTTCTCATAGCTGAGTTCCTGTTCTGGGCTTCATTCTGCATGACCCATCTCAGCAGGAGGGCCAGGGACCTCATCCTCTATGGCACCAAGGAATTCAGCTTCCTGCAGCTCTCAGATGCCTACAGGTAAGTTCCAAGCCGCCACCACCACCTGCTCTTCCCAGCCTCTGTATACCCTATCCCCCTTGGGCATGGCATTTTTCCTCCTCACCCCACCCCTCCTCTGCCAGACCTTACCAGTGAGCTGCTGGACCAGCCAAGGGCCCAGCCCCTTAAGTGCAGTTCTCCTGCCTCAGCAGCCCAAGTAGCTGGTCTGAGACCACTACCACAACCGGCTAATTTTTGTACTTTTAGTAGGGATGGGGTTTCTCCATGTTGACCAGGTTGGTCTCTAACTCAAGTGATGTGCCTACTTCAACCTCCCAGACTGCTGGGATTACAGGCTTGAGCCCCTGCCCCGGCCTTTTTTTTTTTTTTTTTGTGATAAGTCTTTGGCCAGGCTGGAGTGCAGTGGCATGATTTCAGCTCACTGCAACCTTCACCTCCTGGATTCAAGTGATTCTCCTGGCTCAGCCTCCCAAGTAGCTGGGATTACAGGTGCACACCACCGCACCCAGGAAGTATTTTTGTATTTTGATTAGAGACGGGGTTTCACCTTGGTGGCCAAGATGGTCTGAATCTTCTGACCTCATCATCCACCCACCTTGGCCTCCCAAAGTGCTGGGATTACAAGAGTGAGCCACCACACCCAGCCAAAGCTGGTTTACTTAAAACAACAACAATACAAAACCGGCTAGGTGCAGTGGCTCACATTTGTATTTCGAGTGCCTTGGGAGGCCAAGGCAGGAAGATTGCTTGAGCCCAGGTGTTTTAGAGCAGCATGTGGAACAACAGCTCACTGCAGCCTTGACCTCCCACACTGCAGCTATTTGATTTAAAGTGAGAGACATGCAATTCTTCCTTTTACTCAAAGACTTAGAAGCCATTGGAGGGTAATTAATTGGCCTAATTTCAATATTGTTGTATCTTAAAGAATAGAGAGGCCCAAAGAGAGGGAGGGACATGGAGAGGGGGGAAGATTCAGTAGATGGAGCAGTCAGAACACACTCAGTTGACCTTCCAGGCACAAGCAATCCTCCCACCTCAGCCTCCTAAGTAGCTGGTAGCATCTGCAATCACACTATTTTTTTTTAGTAGAGATGGGTGTCTCATTGTGTTGCCCAGGTTTGCACTGAATAATTCTGTTGGCAGCATTTTAAGTTTTTCTTTAATACTGTATCTGTTATGGTGATCTGTGATCACTGACCTTTGATGTTACTACTGTAATGGTTTTGGGATTCTGTCAAGCCCACTTACATAGGATGTTTAACTTAATTGATTGCTCCACTTACTGTTTCCCCATCTCTCTCCCTCTCTTTGGGCCTCTCCATTGTTTCAAATACAACAATATTGGTATTAGGCCAATTAATTACCCTACAATGTGTCTAAGTGTTTGAGTAAAAGGAAGAGTTGCATGTCTCTCACTTTAAATCAAAAGCTAGAAATGATTACACTTAGTGAGGGAGCCATGTCAAGAGCCATGATGGGCTGTAACCTAGTTCTCTTGTGCCAAACAGTTAGCCAAGTTGTGAAAGTTTTTGAAGAAAGTTAAATGTGCTACTCCAGTGAACTTGCAAATGATAAAATGAAACAGGCCAGGCTCAGTGACTCACACCTGTAATCCCAGCATTTTGGGAGGCTGAGGCAGGAAGATGAGACCAGCCTGGCCAACATGTTGAAATCCCATCTCTACTAAAAATACAGAATTAACCAAGCTTGGTGGTGCATGTCTGTAGTCCCAGCTACTCAGGAGGCTGAGCTTGAACCCCAGAGTTGGAGGTAGCAATGAGCTGAAATCGTGCCACTGCATTCCAGCCTAGGTTAAAGAGTTAGACTCTATCTTAAAAAAAGAACAAAAAAGGGAAAATGAAACAGCCTTACTGCTGATATGGAGAAAGTTGCAGTGGTCTGGATAGGCAATCAAACCAGCTACAACAGTCCCTTAAGCCAAAGCCTAATCCAGAGCAAGGCCCTAGCTCTCTTCAGTTCTGTGAAGACTGAGGGAGGTAAGGAAGTTGCAGAAGAAAAGTTGGAAGGTAGCAGAGGTTAGTTGAGGATGTTTCAGGAAAGAAGCCATTTCCATAATATAAGAATGCAAAAAGAGGCCACAAGTGCTGATGGAGAAGCTGCAGCAAGTTATCCAGAAGATCCAGCTAACATCACTGTTGAAAGTGGCTACACTAACAACAGTTTCAATGTAGATGAAACAACCTATTGGAGGAAGATGCCATCTAGGAGTTTTAATAGAAACTTCATAGGACTGACTGACTAATGCAACTTGTGACTTTAAGTTGAAGCCAACGTTCATTTACCATTCCGAAAATCCTAGGGCCCCTGAGAATTATGCTAAATCTCTTCAGCCTGTGCTCAATAAATGGAAGAACAAAGGTTGGATGACAGCACATCTGTTTACAGCATGGCTTACTGACAATTTTAAGCCCACTGTTAAGACCTACTGCTGAGGATCCAAGATGACTGAATAGGAACAGCTCCAGAATGCAGGTCCCAGCAAGAACAATGCAGAAGGTGAGTGCCCACCACATTTCTGAAGAAATTTTCATTGCCCACAGACCAGGAGATTCCTGGGCAAAAAGCACCACAAGTTTTCAGCACGGTAGTGTCAGTTGGTGCTGGGTTGGCACACAGAAACTCAAAAAAGTCTGGGTGGCCGTTTCAACTGGTGCCTGATGGTTTCTGTAACTCTATAGTACGTTTAAAGTCTGGTAATGTTCCTCCAGTTTTGTTCTTCTTCCTTAGGATAACTTTGGTTATTCTGGGTCTTTTGTGGTTTCATATACATTTCAGCATTGTTTTTTTCTATTTCAGTGAAGAATGTTACTGGTATTTTGATAGGGATTGCACTGAATCTGTAGATTGCTTTAGGTAGTATGTGTTAACAATATTGATTTTTCCATTCACAAACATGGAATATCTTTCCATTTTTTTGTGTCATCTTCAATTTCTTTCATTAGTGGTTTATATTTTTCATTGTAGATATATTTCACTTCTTTGGTTAAGTTAATTTTGAGGTACTTTATTGGTGGCTACTGAAAATAGGATTACTTTCTTGATTTCTTTTTCAGATTGTTTGCTGTTGGCATATAGAAATGCTTCTGATTTTCGTATGTTGATTTTGTATCCTGCAACTTTACTGAATTTATTGATAAGTTCTATTAGTTTTCTGGCAAAGTCTAGGTTATTCCCAGTATAAGATCATGTTATTTGCATTTGGCTTTATCCTTTCCAACTTGGATGCCCTTTATTCATTTCTCTTCTGTGACTGCTCCAGCTGGATCTTCCAGTACCATGTTGAATAACAGTGGTGAAAGATAAGCAGCCTTGTCATGTTCCAGATCTTAAAGGAAAGGCTTTCAGTTTTTCCCCGTTCAGTATGATGCTAGCTGTGGATTTGTTGTATATGGCTTTTATTTTGTTTGAAGTGTGTTTATTCTATATCCAGTTCTTGAGGGTTTTTATTATGAACGGATGTTGAACTTTATCAAATGTTGTTTGTCAGCATCGATTTAAATGATTATATGGTTTTTGTCCTTCGTTCTGTTGACATGTGTTTCACACTATGATTTGTATATATTGAGCCATCCTTACATCTCTGGGTTAAATTCAGTCATTATTTTATGTCGCTGGTTTTTGTGTTTTATCACGCAGGTTTTGGGGGAGATTTTTTTCCTTCTTAAAGATGGATTTAGTAGGGGGAAGAAGACCTTTTATTATTTATAAATACTCTGTGAGGTTCCCTACAGAGAACGTTCTTGTTACCAGAGGCTTTTATTGATTAGATGTCCAGATAAAGGAATTCCAGAGTCACCAAGGAATGTAGCAAGAGTAAACTCTCATCTGTGTGACCCCCTCGGAAAGCAATTAGAAAAATTAGTGTTCTGGCTTTTCTTTTTAAGAGATAATTTAGTATGGTAAAAGAAGAGAAAGGAAAAATATATGTGACTCAGACTAAATGGAGAGAAACAAATTAAGCTTTCATTTTTCTTTCAGGAGCAAAAGTGCATGTAGAAATGACTGAAATGTCTGCTTGTTTTTCTGTTTGTTTTTCAAGGGCTTTGAGGGCATGCAGTGAGTGTCTAGTTATTTGGAGACATTATTGTGGCATCATCATCATTATTCCTTTTTGATAACTAAATGAAAGTGCTGTCCTTGGAAATACCATTTAACAGTAAAGAAATTTTCTCCTTGAAGGTACACTGTCAAAAACCTCCCAGCCCAGCAAGGCTGTGTTCTGAACTCTTTCTCTACTGTTGGCTCAATATTGTTTCAATAATCGGCTACTTTAAAAAATCAATCATGGCTGCTTATCTTATATAGTATATTATATAGAGACAAAAGGATATAGAGATGAAAATTGGAAATGGCCACCTATTAATAACTGAATTTTTTTAGGTTGGCATGTACTGTGGGATCTTCTGTGTTTGTTTGTTTTGTCAATTACTTCTATACTGCAACAGGGATGTTCAAAATTCAGATTGCTGGAGAAAATTTCATGGAGGCGTTTCCTGTTAATCTTTGTAGAAATTATCATGGTGAATTCCAATTGTACCATGTAAGTATTTTTCCCTTTGTTAAATATATTCAGGTTGAAATACGGAAACTACATACTATAATTTGAAAGAAATGTAATTCCTCCATCTCAGGTGCCTGCAAATATGGTAATCATTAGGAAAGTGAATGGTTGTCTTAACTGTGAGCATTATTGTTAATATTTTTGAATTTTAGACCTGGGAGGTGCCTTTGACATTATTCAAATTCTTCTATTACATAAAGAAAAAGTCTGAGGCCAAGAGCAACTGAAGGTTTTCCCTGGATCATCTAAGTGTAGTGAGAAGCACAGCAGGGACCAGACCAGGCTGCCGTGGTCTCTGACTTTGTCCCCTTGCTAATGTGATTTCATCAGCTTTCAGTACCATGTTGCAGTTCACGAAGCCACATTTGTCAGCACTTGTATGGCAGCTGGGTTTCTAGAAAGAGTGATATCTTTGTCATTAGTTTAGTGGTATGCAGGGACAGGAGAGCTGAGGGAAGGCTTATGAACCCTCTGCTTTGAACCAGTATCAGAGTTGGGAGGGCACTAGTTACTGTCCTCAAGGGCCTTGCACTGTCATTAGCAAAAGAGGGCACAAACATCTAGACAATGGCCAAATGGAGCCCTCAGGCAATACATCTAGCAAGAGGGAGAGGTCACTTCCAGATGGTGTTTCACATGAATGTGGACTTGGTGAATCTCCATAAAGTGAGCTGCTTCCAGCAGGATTGATTGCAGAGTTTGTTATCAGGTCTTTTCTTGTGGTCATGTGGTCGGGTAGTCAGTAGGGCAGGGAGTGTCAGTCAGTGTCTTTCTTCTGTTCATAGGCAGCCAATAGAGCAAGGAGGGTCAGTCAATGGCATTCTTCCGGTCATGCGGTTCGGATAGCAGGTAGAGCAGAGAGGGTCAGTCAGTTCCTCCATCCTGCGGTCAGGTAGTGGGTAGGGCAGGGTAGGTTAGGTAGTGGTAGGTCAGGTAGTGGGTAGGGTAGGGCTCGTGTCAGGTCTGCAAGTTCCTGGGGGATGTGCAGGTTGAATGCAAATTCCTAATGGAAAAGAGCCAGGAGATGGACTTCAGGGCTAGGCACAGGCCTGGCTTTATTTCCACACTGGAGTAAGACACTTTGGTCTTCTCCCAGTCTCCCACCTGGTCAGCTTCCTGTTTTGAGTTTGAGCCCTGTCCCTGACCCTCCCTCTAATAAGAGGGATTGGCCTGTGTTTGGAAGTTGGGTTGAACCCCATCTCCTGATCATATGTATTTCCATGTCCAAGAGCTTAAAAGAGACTTACTTATTACATGCAATATAGGTATGTCTTCCCCTTTAGGAAACAAATACTGTTTTCCTGGGATGAGATGACAAGTCTTGGCTAACACTGACCTAACATGTCTTCCACAGTGTCTTGGGACAAGGTGCACATTCCTGGTGTGCTGCAATGCTTGGGAGTGATGTACTTTGTGGTTGCTGTGTTGGAGTTCCTCTTTGCTAAACCTGTGCCTGAATATTGTGCTTCGATGAGAAATTTTTTAATTAAAAAAAAATTATTGTGTGGTGATACGGTCTCACTGTTTCCCCAGACCAGCCTCTTAACTCCTGGCTTCAAGCGATTCTCCTCTTTTGGCCACCCAACCCAAAGCACTGGGATTACAGGTGTGAACCACCATGCCTGGCCAGGAATTGTGTTATTGTTTTTGCTGTTTATTGTTGTTGTTGTTACTGTTGAGACAGGAACTTGCATTGTTTCCCATTCTGAGGTGCAGTGATATGATCTAGGTTCCCTGCAGCTTTGATATCCCAGGCTCCTTCCTCCTCAGCCTCCTGATTAGCTGAGACTATAGGAGAGCACCACCATGCCTGGCTAATTTTATTTATTTTTTTGTAGAGACAAGGTCTCACCATGTTGGGTAGGCCGGTCTCAAACTCCTGGATTCAGGTGATCCTCCTGCCTTGGCCTCTAAAATTGCTGGGATTACAGGTGTGAGCCATCATGGCCTGCCAAAACTGTGTGTTTTTTAAAAAGAAGAACAAAGGGGGATATGGTTTATAGAACTTTTAAAATTTCTGCATTCAATACTGCACTTCTGCTAATCAAATACTTACTGATTTCCACTTCCATCTAGTTTTTAAAGCTTTATTTAAAATTATGTTAAAATACACACGACATCTATCCTGTTAGCAAATTTGTCAGCACACAGTAATCGCATGCATTATTTTTTCCTATTTTTATTAACAATACATATCAATTATACATATTTATGAGGCTCAGGGTGATATTTTGATCCTGTGTATTATACAACATGTAACGACCAAATAATGGTGATTAGTATATCCATCACCTCAGTTATCATTTCTTTGTGTCGGGAACATGCAAAGTCCTCTCTGCTACTTTCAAATGTGTTCTTTTTTATTTGTTTTTTGGAGACATGGTCTCACTGTGTCACTCAGGCTGGAGTGCAAGTAGCATGATCTCAGCTCACTGTTGCCTTGACCTTCCATTCTCAAGCGATTCTCACACCTCAGTCTCCTAAGTAACTGGGACTATAGGTGTGCACTACCATGCTCGGCTAATTTTTATATTTATTGTAGAGTGGAGGTTTCACCATGCTGCCCAGGCTGGTCTTATACTCCCACTTGCCTCAGCCTCCCAAAGTGCTGGGATTACTGACATAAGCCACCATGTCTGGCCCCATTTTCGATGGTATTAAATAATACCAACAGCATCCACTTCACAGGTTCAGTCTCAAGGGGCATTATTAACTTTTCAATTTCCTTATGACATTTTGGTCTCTATTCATATGCTGTAAAGTTCAGTAAATTTTCGTTTTGAGGATGATCCTCAGGTAGGACATGGGAGAATGACAGTATTGTGCTTGACTATTTCTATTACTTCTTTATTAGAGGCATGTCAGAGTCCTATCTCTTTTGTGATTACTTCCTGTCTTACTATAAATTGCTGGGCGGAGTTGACC